AATTATGGCATTTAAGTAAAATATATTTTTTTTCTATTTAGGAGTTAGCAAAGTTTAATAATATAAATTAAAAAAACGGTGTGACAATTTTTTTTTCATGACCTATATTTAGAGATAGGTCAAATTATTACAAGTACTGAAAAAATATGTTACATTGAAGGACTTGTTATTTTAAAAAAATTTCGAAAAAATTAAAACGAGAAGTGCATAATTATAAGATGGCGTTCCCAGGCAGATTTTATTCATTCCCGCCACTTGTATATTACGATGATGACCTTGAATATGATTGGAGAGTTCCAGGTAAAAATTTTGATTTATCATATTGTCACTTTTTTTCTGTTATTTTGTTTTCTTGTTTTAACACATGGTTTTGTCTTAAATTATGATACTGTTTTTTGTTGTTTTTTTTGTTGAACTTTATTTTTGTCACAATATCTTTTTTATTATTGTTATGTTTGAATTAATATTTTGTTTTTATAGAAATTGTGAGACTTTATACATTTTCAATTGTACATTACTGCAGTAAATCATCTTTTGAGAAGTTAAATATTTCAAATACATTTGTACTTTGCTTTTTGTACGTGCTTGAACCGAATCAACTTTAAATGGTCAAAACATTCTATGACAAGAAATTAAAGTTACTTGAGTGGTACATTGACTACACTTAACAGAGTAACCATTCTTTGTTTAATGAATTTTTCTTTTATGGAATTTGAAATTTTGTAACCGTTTCTTTGGTTAAAGCTATACATTATCAAAATTATTAAGATCAGGTCAGACTGAGGCTAGATTGTAAAACAGGATGTCCTGGCTCTACAATGAGTGCATACAAACTTTTTCTTGTCAAATCATCGTTCCTGTTTGAAACGGTTAAAAAATCAAGTTCTGATTATTTACCTTTCTCTAGATTTACTGAACAAATGTACAAACTTATATGTATAGAATCATTAACTTTTCTATATTTAGATACAGTTCATGTTGTGGATTGTTGTTACAATTTCTTTTCTGCACATTTTCTTGTGAGATTGTTTTTTATGACATTGTGTTTAGAAGGTTTTTATACATATATATGTTTGTAACGTTGTAGTTTAGTTGTAAATGACACCTATCAACAGTATGCTGCATTTTGTTTCGCGTATAATTATTGTATTGATTGATGGTCATTATAGAATGGCTTGTTTGATTAAAACAGGGAATTGTAGGTCATTCAGAATATGTTCCAAACGTAAACATGCTAAATGAGTGTAAGTGCTTTGATTTCTGTTGAAGTTGGGACTGTTCTTTTTCGATATGTTTGTTTTCAAAATAAAAATCTTAAAATTAACAGTTTAGATAATGGTCATTACACATTCATTTGAAGACTTTCTGGTTCGGTAGGTACTAGTGCTATAGGCAAATCTTTGTCTCTAATAGTTTAAATGGCATATAAAATAATAAAATTTATGCTATTTAAATAGCTTGTAAAATTATGAATAATTTATGTCATTCTTAAAAGGAAACTTTTCGTAAAAGATTTTTTTTACCGTTTACTTAACTAATTGTTAGATTTAGTTTCTTGGGTAATCTAATGGAAACACCATGAGCCTGATATACAAGAATGTAATATTTCAAGATGAATTTAAACCATAACCCTTTTTTAAAAAAAAGGTTTTTGAATATAAGTTATTTTGGTATATTTTGGATTTTTGAAACACGATTTCCCGAAAGCCTAACCTTTGCCAGGGATAGAGTGTGAGCGAGTTTTGGTGACAAATTTTAAAATATTCAAATTGACACCCAAAAATTTGATAAGGGGAGTTTTCCAAAAGGGAAGTCTGTCCTTTTAAAAAAATATCAGCATTTTAAATTAAATTAAAAGCATTCAAAATCTGCAAAATGTCTTATCAGATAGTCAACTGCAGAAATAGTCTATACCTTGCTCAATATGATTATATTCCTAATGGTTTATGAAATTTTAAAACATATTTTCCAACAATTTCTTAAGTTGATATCTGGTTAATTTACCATTTGTGTAAAAAAAAAACAAAAAAAAAACAGAAGCCATTTATCAAAATAAAGTTGCCAAATATGCCTCATATAATGTCCTTAAAATGTGAGATAACCCATGTGTCTGATAACTTTAAAACGCAATAAAAGGAATCACCTTTTGCTCGCATGATATGTCATTATCAAAAAATTTAGATCATGCTGTTATGAGAGGTTCATTGTCTTGTGTATTGGAAGACAGGAAAATTTGAAGAATGTTACCATTTGGCTGCAGGTGCAGTAAGGGGTATTATGGGTGTTTGTAGACAATTACAAAAACAGCAATGAGTATGCCACTGTGAAATCATAAATTCCAAATAGGAAAAGGTTGTAATAATGCTTTGATCTTATACTACCAAAATGATATTTTATTATTTTTTGGCAAAGGATTTTGCAATTCAGGTTTCTTTACCATATTAAATGTGACTTTATCTCGACAAGGTTATCATTTATTAAAAAGATAAATTTAATAATAGACCTGAAGTGTAAGGGTGTTTAAAAATCAGGAAGTATTTGAACTTGTTACTGATAATGGCATGGTGTGAGGCCTGTAAGAATTAAGTAATACAAGATTAAAGTAGCACAAGGTTGGCATGCTCAAACTGCAGTGTATTAATTGGGCCGTTAGCCCGATACAAATCAGGAAGTTTGGAACTGGTCATTGATAATAATGGTATTCTGTGACTGCAATGTTTGGCTTTTTGAGAATTAGGAACTGTTAATGCATTTCATCATGTCAGTACTAACATAGTCCTAGTGAAGCCGGCCAACTTTTGTCTGGCTTATGATTTTGGCCAAGTTGATCAAAATTAAATTTGGCCAACTTATCAAAATGAATTTGGCCAAGGTAATCACTAATGACTTTGGCAAGATTTATCACTAAATGAATTCTAAGCACTATCAATTTTGGCCAATTTTATCAAAAATTAACTTATTGTCCAGTTTGTAAATGATTTATTTAGCCAAATTATCATGAATTTGGTCAAAATTATTGCTAATGAATTTGGCCAGCTTTATTTCTGTTTAATTATGTTTGTAGATAAGTAAGGTTACGGTAAGTGTCAATTGGTAAGCTCTTTGGTTGATCTTGATCATTTTAAAGCTCATCGATTTTTTTTTTATATATAATAAAAAAAATTATGGAGTTTTGTTATAGATAATTTTTTTTTATTTTGTTACTTTATAGATAGTTTTGATATTAATTTCATTAGCACCTTTTGAGTTGTTGTAATTTTATTTGTATTTTGACTATTTGTTCTTACTTTATGATATACTGCACAGCATTTTATTATTTGAGCATTGTGTTTTGTCAGTTTGTTGTAAATTGTCTGATTTTATTTGTTATTTCTTTTTATTGATTATGTTTAATTTTCAAAATATGCATGGTTGTTTTATATATGAGCCGCGTCATGAAAAAAACCCCCCCCCAATTTGCGTTTCCCGGACCAGAGGGACCCAAAGGCCCCCAAGCCTCCCGCATCCCCCCCAGTTTTGACCCAGGACCATCTGTTTATGCTAATCAGTTTCTCTCTACTTGTTAAACGGTTTAAAAGGAACAGCATGGATCCTGATCAGACTGCGCGGATGCACAGGCTGGTCTGTATCTATGCTGGTCGCAAACCCATTACGTTGGTTTTGTTGTGACGTGGCTCATATATTTTGTTATATATGTGAACATTTTAACTTTTAATAATTCATTAACACGTTATTGTATTGATTTAAATGATTTAAGGGAAAAAAAACATGTACATGTATATATACTTTTCCAACCATTAATGATCAATGCCTGATCACGAAAAAAATATAAAAAAAATTGTTGTCCTCATAATTATACTTAAACTATAGAAAATGTACAACAATAAAAAAATCTTCATGATGATGTGACACTATATAATACAGTAAAATATTTGTTTCAAATTTGGTTTCTTGGATAAATATTAAACCACAAAATTTATGGAAATAATGTGTCCATAAATGAACACGATCTTTATGTCTGTAATTTTGTGGCGAAGAAAGTACCTATTAAAATTGATAAATGATATTCTGTTTGTCAAACATACATGAATTACCGTAATTAATATTTTATATAATTATGTCTATACATAGAATTAACTTTCTAATGAGAACATGTACATTTGAATACAGTGTGTTAAAGGGGCATATCGCATGGTTTTGATTAATACTGGGAATAAAGTATTTTACATTAGACTGATTTAAAAATTAAAAATTTGGTAATTATTTTTTATTCATGAATTATTTATTATGATTTTACACTATAATGAATCTTAACTTTCAAGGAGGAAGCATAAATATTTAACAAAGCTGGATAAGATTTAGTGTGTGCCAGGTGTTCATCATTCTTTATTTGCCTGGATATAAATTCATTTGCTTATAGGTATATCTTGGATTTCTAGACATGCCTCTTCAACTTAATTAAGCGCTTTAAAAATGATAGATTAAATTTTAAAAAAGGATAAAGTTTGATGCTTCAAAAAAGAATTTAGCCTTATTTTGAAGGAGCTCCACAGAGATCAAAAAGCCTAAAAACGCAAATTTGAAATTTTCTACATAGATCAAAATAGAGCACTTAAAATTGTAAAATCGTGAATGGAAAATAAAGAAATATCCTCAGAATGATATGGAATATTTATTTTTTTGTATGATTTGAGTGTGAAAAGTATTGCAATGTTTTTCATTTTTTGGCCATTTTACACACTAAAAATGATGATTCTGAAAAAAATCAGGTCAGGGAAGGATCTGAAAATTTGCATTTTAAGTTATTATTCAAGACCTTTTTTAAATGGTACACAAATCCTGGGGGAGAATTTCCAGTCCCGTCATGTCAAAAAACCTTGTGGAGTCCCTTTAAGTATTTATTTGTAATCTATTTAATAATAATTTTTTTATCTATACCATTATTTTCATGTTTAATCTATTGTTATATTTAATAATCAATTGTAACATTTATTTTCTAGGTACAATGCATAGGCCAACATTTAGTGCAGTGGCTACAGGAGTGAAGTTTGCTAGGGGCGCTTCAATGCCAGCTCCTCCTTCCCCAGGTAACATTTTAAATCATCTTATGTTCTGATCAATTCACAGGGATTACTTTATATTGCTCAAACTTAGGGTACGAATTCCAGCTTGCATACAATGTACTTTCCAAAATAGGAGTGAACTGGCAAAATTGCAAGTGATTTTATCTTGCGCTTCTGTTTTCCTTTTCGTTAAGCAGAAGTAAAGAACACCTATAATGTGGTGTGGACATTAGCAGGATGCTATTACCTTTTAATGACAATTTTGACATTGTAAATTGTGGCTTAAAATGAAATGTATTAAATATGTTTTGAGGTATCTTGCCCTGCTAAATCTAGTAGAGTTTTCGCTGTTGTTACAAAAATCTCTAAAGACTATGTCTGTTGAAAAACAATAGTTTGTTCTCTTTCTGTTTTGGGTTAAGTCAGTACCTGTATCTGTAGGATGGGGAATTTCCTTGTTGGAGGAATTTCAGGCAAGTTTTGTTCCACATGCATGCAAAAGTGGCAATACTTGTAATACTAAGTATGGCATATTTGATTGCAAATTTCAATAGGATATTGTTTAGGTAATCTCCTGCATTAAAGGTAGGGAAAGTTTAATTGATTAGGGTCTCCTGCTTTTGGCAGGTAAATGTAAGTAAAGTTTAAAATCATTTTCTCCATAAGAACATAGATATCAAATAGACAATATAACAGTATTTGTTGAAGTGGAAGATGGACCATGAAGTTACTGTCTGTTATTAACTTAAAACTAATCTTTTGACTTTTCAGACGAGGAGACGAAGAAAATCAGTTTAATACCTAGCATTTTGGATCTGCCGAACAGAAAGGCATTAGCTAGACAAGGTTTCTATGGTCATGAATTTGCTGACAAAGAAGTTAAAGAAACGAAATCACAGTCAAGGTCAATGGAACCATCCATGTCAGCTGCGGACAAACGTAAACGATTCCATCACAGTGTGAAGAGTCGGAATAATTGGTCGCTCACTGACGAATCCGAAGAAGGTTCGGCTTCCGATCGTCGTGACACTACCACATCTATAGACAGTTGGGACAAAGGGCTGGTACTGAAAAGTTTTAGTGACCGTTTTAGTTCAGACTCATCAATGGAAAGTAATGATTCATATTCAGATGATAGGCATTATTTGCAAAGGCAGCACTCTATTAGTAACTTAAGAAAACAATATGAAAGGACGATAATGGAAAGTATGGATGGGGAATACCCAGTGTTTAATGAAGGTTCAGATTCTTCACTGGATCGTAGATCTTCTGTAAGTGATCAACGTAAACAGCAAGTAGAAAGACTGATGCTGTCTGTTGATGATGACGGGGACTACACGGCTCAAAATAGAACCGCAGCTTTACGTGAAAAAGATCCACGAGCATCGGTCCTTGTCCAAGCTCAGAAGTCTACGCAATCAACACTAACTGGGTCACCACTGACACCAAAAGACATGAAATTTTCTTTTGATCAAACTTTGAATGATGGTGAGAGTGAATTTAATTTTTCTTCCAACGAAAAGCCAGGAAAGTTGTCTCAGCAGAATAAACAGTCTGTAAGTATAATTGTGGAAGAGGACTTGAGTCCTCAGGAGAGTATTCAAACAAGGGCCATAAATCAAAGAACCAATTCAAATGAGTTGACTTCCTTGGCTCTCGGTGTTAGATCGGACTCTTGCAATACATTGGTGCCACAGGACAGTAGTAATATAGACTCTGATGGAGATTTGACCCCGCGGGCGGGGGAAGGTATCCATGGAGATGCATTATCAGAATCTGCAAGCTCTTCAGCAACTCTGAGCACTGTACTATATGATCAGGCTCAGTTAGATGCTGTGTTTACAGAGACAGATGAAGTGTCAAGGTCATTAGGTTCTGAAAATAGCCTCAAACCAGCCCAAGTTCTGCCACAGGAATCATTTGAGCTAGAGGAGGTAAGATAAATGTTTTTGGCAAAACTGTATACATGTATTGGTAATTCTCTAAATTTACATGGCAACTGCATTTATAGCAATAATAACTTATATGATTTAAGTGAATCAACAAATTAGGTTTTACTCTGTTCATAAGTCAGTATGTATGTGTAGTTTTACAAGGGTTGGAAATGTTTTGATCAAATGAAGTTGTTAACTTTTGTAACTGAAATACCATTGTAACTGAATAATCTCTTTTGAAAATGTACTTTGTGGCAAAATACAAAACTCCACCAATTTATGAACACTATTTCTATCACCTTTTCTTTTTATGAATCAAGATATGTCAGTATTTCTTTTGATTTATTAATCAATATGATATATCAAAAAAAAAAAATAGTCATGGTTGTTTCATAGTAATGCATGGCCATGGTTTATGGACTAAAAATCATGTGTAAGGTAATTTTGTAATAAAATATTGGTTGTTTTCTCTGTTAGGGAGCCACATTATTTGAGGGCTCAAACATTAAAAAAGATGTAGTCATAAGCAAATATCATAGAAAATATTCACTTAGTATAAAGTAATGTTTTGAAAAAGAAATGTATCTTAAGTTTGATTGACATGAGGCAATACTTATGTCACAACTTAATAAAATTGCCACAGAAGTTATGATGTTGTACACTATTCAGCTGACAGTAAATCCATTTCAAATGATATATTATTTCAATATTCAGATAATAATAATGTTTCTTACCTTATTCATTAACTGTTGCAGATTTCTAGTGCTGATAATGCTTATGAAGATTGGAATGCAAACATCACTAAGCAACCTGTGACAAGAAGGGGTAAGTCTATTAAGACCTTGTATATATCTACAGTTTAACCTTGGCAGAGCAACTCCCTTTGGAAGACAAAAATTTTGAATGCTAATGAGAGGGGTGTTTCTATAGAAAGAAATGTTGTAATTAAAGATGTAACAACACTTAAGTGAAAATTTATATATGTATATAATTATTCTTCTAAAACAATATTAATTTCCAAACATCCAGGAATATGTTAAATATATACTGCAAATGTTTACTCGCAGTATAATTAATCATTAAAATCTATTTATTCATTTCTTATTGAACAATTTGACTTAGACTTTTTCGGAAATAGATTTCTAATAACCTCTCTCTATTAACATGAAATGCAAATTTGGTAATATCTTTACAAAAAATGCTTTTTTGAACTGACAGTATTGATAAATCTTCATTTGAGCATCAGATTTATGATATTAACAATAAACAAATTTGAGTTACAGTATCTTTAAATGTATAGTGAAGTCTCACTTTTGGAATATTTGAAAATTTAAACTGTTATTAGTTATTTGGTCTTTTGGTCTACAGAGGGCTCAGATTTATACATGTTATCCTGTATTTGCATTTAAGGCTTAATGTGGTGTAACCAGAGTCCATCAATCCTTCCAGGTACAAAAAGTTACATTACACACTGCAATATGCACCCTTAAGATGTCAATGCCATGGTCAATTAATAAAAGTAATTTAAAGCATAAGATGGTGATTATCTACCTCATTGCAATTTCCACAGAACAGTTAAAATAGAAATGAATTTTAAGCTGAAATATAGTCATTTAGAACCAGTCATGCCTATTTAGATGAAGAAAAAAAAAGAGTACCAACGTATTTGCATTTTGCATACCAAAACCATTGCAATGATTTGGACATACAAGAAATCTGAGATTGTTCACTATTTTCATAATTATATAATCAGTTCAATGAAAACAAACACTTTTTTTGGGGGGGGGGGGGTCACTATTTTCATGCAGAGATGCTTGTTTTTCAGTGAATTTAACCATTATAATATTATATATCTTCATGAATATAAAATGTCAAGTTGTCAATAACCTTAAACCTGGCATTTTAGATGTTTTCTTTGGATTTAGTGTGAGAAAATAAATATGAACATTTTTTAAAAGATTTTTATAATAAAATTTACATTTTTAATTTTTCATGACATTTTAAAAAAAATCACCTTGTTTACATTTTTGGGTTTGTTTCTTGTTTCCCGTTATATTAGTTTAAAACTGATCTTTTTTTTTCCTAGGACTTTTGATTTACTGCACAACTTTTATAATATTCTCCTTTTTTTTACTTTTTTTAAATTTTTAAAGGAAAAACTTTTCATTAATGAGGATCAGTTTTTAAAAACAAACTTTTTTTCCCTGTCTTCTGCATTTTTGTGTTGAAATGACATCAAAAATGGTTTAAAATGACACTGAAAGGGAAATGGGTTGGGAAAAAAACTGATTTTTTAGGTTTTACAGAAAAACTATTTTTAGGATAAAACTTGACTTAATGGACTAAGGGAGGTAATACATACTAAATATATACAGGTGATTTTCATGATTTGTCCCCCTTGTATTAACTTTGTAAAGGGAGATAACAGCAATAATTATATACAGATGTAAACAGTAGTTATTGTTTCCCTTTATTAAAATCATCAATATTAAATGACTTATCCAGTGAAAGAGTCATGATACAGTGTTTCTCTTGTTCAGAAGTGTTTTGAAAGAAAAAGAGAATCCATACAAACTTAAGCTGGAAACAAAACATAACATAACAAAACATAAATGGAAAATTTGAAGAAAAGAATATGTTTGTGCCCTTGCTAAAACTTCAAGGTATCTGGTGTTATATAATAAAAAAAGTTCTTTTAAAATATAATTAGTTTTAATTGAAAATAAGTTAATTTTAATAAGAAAATGATTTATATCCAAGTGCAATTTTAATACATAAAATGAGTTCTCAATAATTGAGAGAGTTCTCATTTTTGCTCTATAATTTTCAGGTACCATAGAAAAGTCGGCCAGCACTCATTCTGACAGTTCTGGATTTGCTGATCTTGATACCATAGGGGAGACAATCCATTCTAGCTTAGATATATCTAGGGTAACTATCATAATTATAATTACCTGTAAGAGTTGTCTTTTCCTTTATTTGTACATATGAGTTATGTTATCTTATTTTGCATGCTTATCTCCCCTGATGACTGATGAATTGTTGAATGGAATTTCACTATTTGTAACATTTAAGTTTATATACTTAGCCCAGCTAGCTTACAGAATATCCGTGGTTCTACTCGGGTGCCGGTTTGTGTCTTCCTCCACCAGTAAAGCTGGAATGTCGCCATATAACCTATAATGTGTCAGTGTGACGTAAATCCCAATTAAACAAACAAACAAACAATATACTTAAGCACTTTCATATATTGTATGCTATTCAATGAGATATTTTTAATATAGCATAATATCAATGAGATATAAGTCATATAACATTGATTCGAACCATATGAAATATAGAATTTTCCTGCAAGTCTGTAGATACAAATAATGCTCTCTCAAGGAATGCTCTATTGAATTGCTCAGAAAATGTTGAAATAAATTGAATATTTGAATTTTAGTTTTGTGATCTATTACTATAATGCTATGTAAGTATATATAGATTTTTAATATTTTTTTTAGTAGGCTCATTTTGATGTTAATATGATATTTCAATAATGTACTATGTAACACTTTAACGCAAAGCTCATTGTTATGTTTATATTAAAATAATAATATACAATGTAACTCTTTGACGCATAGTAGTTTTTGTTGCGAGTGAAAATAGTTTTAATTATTTTTCTTACAGAAAAAAAAAACAAACTTATATGAGTTGTGAATGATATAATGATGTGGTATGTTTTTAAATCTGGCTGACAAAACTAACTATTACCTTTAATATAGAGCAGTCACAAACATGAAAATCTTTTTTTTAATATACATTTTATACTAATTTTGTATGGTCACTATTAAAAAGACAAAATGTTATTATAGTTCATTATAGCACATTGTGTGAGTTTTTCATGCCTCTACTTTTATAATTTGTACAGATTGTGAGGCATAATGTGTTTTGTCAATTTACCGTCTGTCCGCCTTACAGCAGAAAAAAATTAACCATGGCCATGGTCTTAATATTCAGTAGACGGGTTTTTTTATTCTCCAGACTAGAGAAGAGCTTCAATTCAAGTATTTGAAATATGACCTTGACCTCTAAATGACCTTGACCTTTAAAAACTTTTTCTTTTTAAATTCAGGAAATTGCACTTTTATGGTGTGATTCATTATCAGATATGCTTTGTCTTTAATAAATGTGATACCTAAAAGATCAGCCTGTTCAATTTAGAAGTCTTACAATTTGCCAACTTAGAGGTCACATTATTATTATGTGCCCTATGTGGCAGTTTTTTGTTTTATTTAGCCAACTTATACAATAAAGGTTGTGGGTGAAACCCTTACTTAGAATTTTTATTCTATTGCTAACTTAGAGCTTTGGATGACAGTTTAAACCAGTCTTAGAAGGGTTGATTTTTTATGTCAGTTTATCAATGAAAGGTTTCATGTATTAGCTTTTGATTTTAGATGTAGGTTTATATCCTCACTAAAATAGTGGGGATATCCAACTGACACCTGGGGTTGCCAACACTTGATTTAGATTTTGCATATAACTGTATCTTTTTAACTACTGAAGGCAATTTCTCTTGAAATTTGTCACATATGTTTGAAATCACACTGAACAAGACCCATAACTCTGGTCTGGAATTTGTCACAGAATAATACTTACAGAATGAAACAAGAAAATTTCTGGTTAACTTTTTGCTTTAAGTTTGGTCTCTTATAACTTTGAATCTTTACACAGTCATGTTGTCAAGATCATTGTGATTGGTCACTGACCAAGGCCTGTAACTCTTAACTGGTTTTAACTGAAATTATTCCCCTTTTATGGCTGCAGAAACTTGCTTGCATTGAGAAAAGTCAGTCACTGTAAGACAGTTCTTGTATGTTTTTCTTTACCTATATGCAGGCAAACAGTAAAATTATTGTAGTGATGAAAAAAATCACAAATTTAATTTTACTAATTTCACTTCATGATTATCATTAGTGAAAACAACACATGGTAATTTCTTTATACTGTATTAACTTCTTATAACATAACAAACTTTTATGTGTAATAATAATTTTTTTTTATCCCAATGCTCCTTATAGATCTAGTTTATCAAATACATTTTGGTATTTTTCAATTGACTATGGAAAATATTTTATATTTCACTACACAATTTGAAAGTTTCAAACGTATTTTTTCATAATTTGTTAATAGGTCAACATTATTGTCATCAAATCTTAGTTGCAACATGGCCGAGTGGTAATTAACATGTTAAACTTGTAATCTACAGTAAAGCCTCATCAAGCAAAGCGTCTTTTTTTTTTTTATTGAGAAGAAATTTTTTCTCTCCCATTGCTTAGTACTGGTGGTTCCAGGAACAGATTCGAAGATTGTCTATAACCTAATATAGCTGCCAACTGAATCAAACTAAAATTCTGTATAATCTATGTTTCTGTTAGTTTTACGCATGCCGAAAGATTCATCTGGCATGAGGGGTGCCAGATGAGTCGGAGTCATTTCGCCGCTATGAATGAAGTTGTAATTTCATAAGTTATTGTAAGAAAATAGTTACAGGTCTAATGACATAAATTTCAATGGACATTTTTTTTAAGTTAAAGAATTCAAAATATGATAGAACCTGCAAGAAAATATATGTTACATATGTTTTCGGTTTGGATCGGAATTATAATCCATCCCTCTGAAACACGCCCATGTCACTCGGCAAGCCTTGTTACCGCCCAATGGGCGGGATCCCTCGAGTCAAATATTTCGATCTGATCTGCAACATATGACAGATATTATTATAATCTGTCACAAAACTTTACCAATGCTGTATCCCAAACACTCACCTATACTGAAAATCAGCAGATTGTCTTAAATTTCTGTATTTAAAATCATTTAAAAAAAAACAGTATCACCTACTAATCTTAACTTCAAGCTAACTTTTAAGCAACCTTTTAAATCAAAAACACTATGTACAAATGATATAATACATTGCAAATTAAATCATCAAAGATTATAACTTTTTTTAAAATAAATGCATGTTTAAAGTTCTGAGTGAAAATTTTAAGAAGTTTTCTTGTTGATTGGCACGAGTTATACATTAAATCATATACTCTGGGTGTAAAATTTATGCATTTATAACTAGTTAATTACATGTACACTTTCAATTGTGTATTGATTGTTTTATAAAGCAAGACTCCCTTGACATCTCGGTCCCATGTCTTTTTGACTCTTTGACTCATTTTCTATAATCTTTTCTACAAATATTTAATAATTATATAATAGTAGGGTTCTTTAATATACTTAATTTTAAAAAGGGGTCAACATTTCTATATTAATTTAATCAATTTAGGATTGAATAGTCTTGTAAAAAAGGGTTGGCAAGTCAATGGATTGTAAAGTCATCTCAAAATCTTAAGGGGCAGAAAAGTCATGGTGTCAAAGTGTCTTACTTGCAGAAAACTATACATGCATTCTATGAATGCAAGTTTTAGCAATTGTCCTTTAATTCCCATTAATTTTAAATGCTGTTTAAATTGCAATATTCTTCTTGTTTCAGGAATATTTATTGCCTCACTCTCTTGCTGCCGATGTTAATTACAAATCAAACAACAAAAGCAGAAGTTTTCTTGGGTCACATGACAACAGAATTTCCCAGAATTCATCAAATTCACTTCCTGTTGCTCAGCAGCAAGAGAATGCTGAATACCGATTGGTCGAAATTACAGAAACTGTTGAGAAGATGAATTCAACTTCAAATATGATGAGAGAGCCAAAACAGGTATATGTGTGTAAAAAGAATGCATTTGATGATGAAGACAAAGAAAACAAGCCAGAGTTGTCTTCCATAAATTACACTCCAACTGCTGAAATTCAGGACAAATCATTAGTTTATACTCTTTCTGTTCCTATAGAAACTGTTGCTATAAAAAAGAATAAAGTAGAAGATGACCAAGCATCTAGATACGTTTCAACAATTTCTGTAAATGTTGAAAGGAAATCCAGTGATAACAATAACCAGAAACATGTACCAAGTTCAAAGGTCACTCAAGTGGGTCATGTGTCCTTTCACAAGGTCAAAAGCAAAAGTGAACTTGACATTGATAAATCAGATCTGAAATTTGATGCCAAAGATACTGATGATATTTCACTGAGTAGTGCTCCAAAACTTGTTGGTGTTTCTGTAAAACAATCCATCACTCATGGTACTGAAGTTGTTACTAATAATAGTGAACATGACTTATGTAGATCTGCTTCTCCATGTAGAGCCAAAGAGATTGTGATAGAAAAGAAACGAGCAAAAGAACGATTAGTAGCTGCTAATAGTCACACTGCAAACTGGTTACTTAGTAGTGAACAGCATTTAAAAGCAGACGACCAATCAAAAAACTCAAAGATCTCGCCTTTCAAAATTGGCCGTCCAGTCTGGGCATCTACGCCAAATTTGAAAGTCAAAAGAAACTTCACTCATCTAGACGAAGATGAAAATAGCAGACGTATTAAAATGGAGGGAAATCATTCTTTTGACCTTCTGCTTGATGAAGAGATGTGTACAAGAGATGGTCAGAAATTAAATGGGAACCATATTCCTTCATCCAATTCTGCGGAAGAACTGGAAGAGTTTGGGAGTAGACAAACATTTGTTGGAATCACCGGCAAACCGCATTTATATGATTTGAAAGGTGATTCAGCATGTTCGTCCATGGATGAGAGTGTTGAAATAGCAAGACCTTCAATGCTGGGTAGCGGGTGTACTATGCCAGAGGATCATCTCAACTATGTTAGGCTAGCCAGGCTTGTTAATGGACCAAGCCTTATTACGGTAAGATTCTGTTTGTATTTTTTATAAAAAAAATTGCCTGTCTTTGTTAATGGGTGGGTAATTTGATATACTAATGTAAGAGACAGTTTTTGTTGTGGCATGGCCGAGTGGTTAATGCGACAGACTAGTGATTTAAGAATTACTTTCTGGTAAGCAATAAGTTGTTAATGTCTCCTTGATCAAGAAACTTTACACTCGTTGCTTAGCTCTGATTGGTCCCAGTAACAGATTCAAGAGTGTTTCAATAAGCTTGTAGCTTTCAACATAATCAAAACTAAAATAAATCTGTATCAACTAAACCAAGAGACAAGTTTTTGTTTGGTATTTGGTTACAAATGGAAAAAAAAAACGAATTTAAGCATGACAATGCCATGACACAAATTAGTTTGAATAATTATATAAAATAACTGCTACATGTAGGATGCAAATAATCATTTTCATGCATCAATCATTAATATGTATAATGTATTTTATTTGACAATAAAAAAACAACAAAAGTTGATGGAAAGAAAACACTTTGCCTTCACCTGAAAATGACATAGCTGTCAATATGATATCACAAAAGTGCCAGACATTTCTGCGTAAAATTGGTTGCCCAGTGTGTGACACATATAATCCAGTCATGCATAAAATCCAAAGCACAATGTAAATTTTTTTCTGCTACAAAATAAAGATGTATCCTTGCTAATGTGGCAACATGTGGTCACATGTGGTGTAGCGTAATCTTAGGGTAAATAAATGATGTCTTGCATGAAAGGGGAATTTGTTTGTTTCTCTGGTTTTGTTCTCCCTTAACACACTTCTCATCATGATAAGAATATAACAAGAATAAAGGACTTTTTTCCTGTAATTACATGATTTCAAATGTTATGAGAGATTAGGAATATACTCTCTGCAGAGAGTTGGATGGGTTTTTTCAGGCTGTAATGAGGTTATATGAATGTATGAAGTGGAGTTTCCCTAATTACATAATCAATGGTTTACTTCCGTGTATATTTTATGAGATTATGAGAATGTTTGGAAATGTCAAATTCTGGTAAGCTGATCTTTATTGTTTATGTAAGTCATGTACCATCCTAAATTAGTATAAAACCGCCTCTGTGGACGATGACTTCTAATCCAGTTACCTCTCTGGCGTGGGTTTGATCCCCGGGAGATGCTTTGGTAGTTTAGCGCGGAGGAAGGTTGTCTAGTACTGGTGTAACTCACCAGGAACCATGGTTAGGAAACTACCTGCCTATATGACTGAAATACTGTTGGGAAAAGGCGTAAAATGAAACAAATTAGTATAATGGACATGTCCGGCTTTTAAATTTGGAATATTCCATTGTTATTGTGAAGGGGTTGCAATGCATTGCACCTCAGAATGAGTTATGAAGTATGTTGACATTGTATAGACTAGAACCTCAGAATAAATTCTGCAATAGGTTGACACATATTAACTAGACCTCAGAATAAATTCTGCAATAGGTTGACAATATTAACTAGACCTCAGAATAAATTCTGCAATAGGTTGACAATATTAACTAGACCTCAGAATAAATTCTGCAATAGGTTGACACATATTAACTAGACCTCAGAATAAATTCTGCAATAGGTTGACAATATTAACTAGACCTCAGAATAAATTCTGCAATAGGTTGACACATATAAACTAGACCTCAGAATAAATTCTGCAATAGGTTGACAATATTAACTAGACCTCAGAATAAATTCTGCAAAAGGTTGACACATATTAACTAGTACCTCAGAATAAATTCTGCAATAGGTTGACACATATTAACTAAAAACTCAGAATAAATTCTGCAATAGGTTGGCACGTATTAACTAGAAACTCAGAATAAATTCTGCAATGTTGACACATATTAACTAGAACCTCAGAATAAATTCTGCAATAGGTTGACAAATATTAATTTAAATGAAACCTCAGAATAAATTCTGCAATACATTGACAAATATTAACTTAAGAACCTCAGAATGAATTCTGCAATTATTTTACAAATGAATTAAAAACCCCAGAATAAAGATATGCGAACAACTTAAACACATAAACTAAATCAACACAATACAAAGAAATTTATATAACAATAAAATTATCTGGTATTTGCATTAAAAACGTTTAAATGTGTTGTAAAGCATGGCATTATCCCATTCAATTTTTTTGTGTGGATTAAAATTCCGGCATGTTGCATTAAACAAATTGTTTAGTTTACAAGATGTTGTCAGTCTTTGTTTGAGGGGAAAAAAATTTTGATTGCATTATTGTTGCTTTTATTGTTGTTTTTCTTGTTTTTCTTGTTTTCTTTTACTTCTGAAATATGTGGTGAAGAATAACAGCATTTGTTGTAACAGTCTCTTGTGTTAAAAAGGATAAGTCATTCTTAAATTTTCACCGTATAATTCTATTATTTTAATATTTATTTAAAAGATTATCTGAAAATTTTGCTTCTTTTCTTAAATGTCCATATTTATTTAAGAATAGATATTCCACTGCTTGAAAAGAGTTGTTTTCATTACAGACACCTAGCTTAGCAAATAAAAGAAAGTATTTGATCTTATATTGGCTTAAGCTTAAGTAGAGGAATTTAACACAAGTGTATTAAATTGCCCAGTGAATAATTGTGATATAAGAGTTTCAATTTACAAAATGAAGAAGTGATATTTTTGGTGTATGCATCTATGGATAAGCTTTCTGAGATTCAAGTAAGTTTAAGTAGATTTTGAGTGTGCATGTTCATATGATATTGCACTGTTTGATTGCAGGGTCTTTAACACCCTATTGATTGGTTTTGTGGGTGAATTATTACCCTGTTTATTTGTATATCTCAAACATATAAGTATTTTTGGAGAAAGAATTTAAAGCAGCATGCCTTATTCATGAAGACAATTAACTTTTAAATAGGAGATGCATATTGAAGTTATTACCTTTTCTGGCAACATATAAAACTACAAACTGCAAAAGATATTATTAAAAATGTCACAAATGAAAAATATAACATACACCCCTTGCTATTTATATAATGCACAATTCATAAGGAATATAATCTGAATAACTTTAACTTAAAATAATTGTTTAGCAATTCGGCAATATACTAACTCCTGAATTATATTTGGGATTAGGTACAAACAAACTTTTACAGTTACAGATTCAAAAATAAGCAAAACAGTTTGACTAATCTATTTTGATGGCTAGTGTTCTATGAAGCTTTAATGGTAAAAGTTTGTTTATACCTACGAATAAGCCAGGAAAAACCAACATTTGCTTCTGAATAACATCAATTCCCTATATCAAATAGGCTCAAATAGTGGTGGTGGAGAGGATAGCAATATATTTAAGATGTGCTGTGCTGTCCCTATGGCAGGAACTATAAAGTTGTGTCATATTATAACATTTTATAACATTGTTTAAGTACCTCTGGTATTTGATAGAAGTTGTACCTTTAGGTGTTGTTTAACACTGGATTGGCACTTTGATATACAGAAAGATATTGAGTAATATTATATCATTAGAAATAGCTTACAAAACAGTGCACAGCTTTACAATACATAAGACTTAAAGCATTGTAATCTTGTATAACATATAAGTAACATTGTATATTAAGGAATGGTTACCTTTAAACCATTTAGTTGATATTGATAAGTGACTTAGATAATGAAAGTGTTGGGGGCACAGGAGGTGCGGGAGACATAGCGGTGCGAATAGTCAGTCTTCTCTTTAGGATGTTATGTGAATCGAGGATATTTTCCGCATTATTTTATATAAATTTTGACTGCGTAAAATCTTCTTGTCAACTGTTATATAAACATCAGTTAAAGAAACGAAAAGATTTCACCATTAAAATTAATATAGAGGAGGTATTGGTAAGCGATTTTTTTTCTTCAGTAAATTGAATTACTGTTTTTTGACTTCAATACAAATTGAAATATGAATTGCAGTTTTATGACATTGATACAAATTAAAATATAAATTACAGTTTTGTTACATCAATACAAATTTTAAATAATAATTGACTGGTTTTATTTTTGACAAGTTCCATTCTTGTTGAAGAATGTGCAGCAGTTTGGTGTCTCATGTTATTATAAATGATAACATGTTAATTTCAAAGGGATATCAGGGTAGCAATGGTGCAGTGGTACAGGTCAGTTTGCCTCTTAACCTAAAGATCATCCGTTTAAGCCCAACTCTGGCCACATAATATGTTTCTTCATATGACACCAGTACTGGTTGGTTTCAGGAAGCTAACTAAATGAAAGTGATTAATATTTAAGTTGCAAGAACTTGTTTCGCAATCAACTTTAAATAAATATGTTTAAACTAAAGGGATACCATTTCCTTTTCCTAATTTAAGTGGGATGCAGTATATATTTCAAAATTATTCAAAATAATTGACTGTATAAATTATGATTCAGGCCACACTTCTATTTAAAGATTGTTAATTAATTATATAAAGTTGTTAAAATCAGTAAGTGCTTTATTAATTAAATAATTAATTGATTAATTAACTGTTCTGGTCACTTAATTAAGTTGATTACCAGGAAAAGTGGAATATTGTTAATTGACCCAAATTGTGTTAAATTGATTCTGTCTGATCTCCATTAAAACTTAAGAAAAAGTGGGTCTCCAATCTCCAATTTCCTTGTCTACTGTCTAGAAATAGATTATAATTAATTTATATAACTTGATTTATATAAATTAGAACAAATCCATTGGTTAGAAGTCACCTAGTAAGTAACAACCAAAGAAATAGAAGCCCATGCATTCTTACTTTCTGCTACAAGGTCAAATTCATCAAACATTTTAATGTAATAAATGTGCTCATACTGGTAACTTATTAGTTAAAACATTATTTATTTGTAATTTGTACATTTACATAACAAAATACATAAAATGAATTTTACAGATTGAATTTTTGAGGAAGCTTAAAAAACCTTTTTCGGTAACTTATTGTCTATTCATGCATGCCATATTTTCAGTTATATATATTAACAATATTTTCTCTCACCCACTTATTTATATTGAACTTGTCCTTGTTTGAGTTTGGAATTGACCATTCAAATTTGTAGGGATGTTGATATAATGATTTTAAAATTAGGAAGAATGATAGACTGGTTAAAGCTGCAGACCAAACTGTACAATTTGTGCAAATGTTGGTTGTGCTACTTGTATATATTGGCAGCATAATTATTGTGTTATTTTGCAGAAGAAATCATAATCATTTAAAATAAATGTTTAATTCAATGATTTAAGGTTACAGACTTATTAATTATGCCTCCTACCCACTATGTGTATTGTTTGTATGATATTAGGAAATTATAATGTGTATTTGTGAATTTAACACTTAATTAATTAAGGAAAATTGGTTTTAAATGTTCTTTTCAAAAGTGTTATTGCACCACTTAAAAATATCAGAAATGATTGAATTGTAAATTAGGAAAACATTAAAATCAGTAAGTCTGTCTGTAATAACAAATTTATTGTCTATGCCATATAATTAGAATCATATTTCCTGATTAAGTTGATTAAATTCCTGACATAAGTTCTGTGTTAACTCGTCTGATTGCCTTTTGAAATTAATGATAATTATAGGGTTGCTATGTAAAAAAGGAACTTGTTAAGACCAATAAATAAGCACTTCTCTAATTAAGAATTAAATATTGTCTATTGTCATTCAATAAAATTATATTAAATTTCCTTTAGAAGTTGTACAATGAAGATTTCCCAAGATACTGTTTAATTGTTCTATCAGATTGTCCTTTGAAATAGGGTCACCAATTTCCCTGTCTACCAATTTAACAATTAAACTGTGCTGTTATTATTCTGCAGATAAAATTTTGATGAACTTAATTAGTTTATTTAATTCAATTAGTTTAATGGCATTTAACATTTAAATTGGTATTATACAGTGAGAATATAATATAATTATAGCATTAATACAATACAACCTTTTTAGAAAAAATATTTTGTATAAAGAAAAATTATTCCAAAAAAATATAAATATTATCTATGTTGAATTTTTTTTGTCCAGAGATTAAAGTAAATATCACAAATATTAAATATAAACAATAAATTTCAACTTACCAAAAGGAAATAAATCTAGATGTGAGAATAAGTAAAAATTATAATTTTATTTGAGATTTTGATAAAACTAAAATTACACTGAAATTAATTGTTACGTTTCAAGCATACTTTTATATCAGGTTTTTGCAATATGTTTGAAAATATTCATAATAATGCAACCAATACAATTTTGGCTTGTACTGACCTAAACTGTTGGTGAAAAACATTTATTATTTTAACAACTTCTGACACAAATTTTATATATAATTTATGTTCTTCAAGATCAATATTATGCCATGTGTCAGAGAGAAATTTGTTTAAATTGTTTTAGAATTGAATTCACCTTCTGTCGAAAATGAAAACACAGGTCTTTCAGAGATGAAGTCATGTGCCAGCAATCAGAATTCTAATGTTGTAGAAATAGGAAAACAAATGCTGTTTTCTAAAACACCACAGTGTCTGTAAAGAATAATCAAAACACTTTGATCATCTTGCATAATCTGCCAGTTTAATTGCCAGTAATCAGTCAAATATTTTGAATTGAATGGCTCATGATTGCTCTATTCATGTAGACATACATTGACTTATTGTGTTGTATTGTTTTCTCATCTCTGGAAGAAACTGTGAAAGAAGATGACATACAATTGATCTTCTTGTATGTGTGAAAAGCTAAATGGCTTATTGTATTAAATTCTATAATTACATCCAAACTGTGAAAACAGTGGTGCAGGGATTGAATTGGTTTATCCCAAACATGGGTGTGAATGAAATGCTGTGCTCTGATTGGTTGATATTGATACCTGCTACCTACAGTACCAAGCCATGCATCTGGACAAGTTTATACTTATATACCAAAAAATGATAAATTTTAAACAATTATTACTTAGTTCATGACATAAACACATGTAAAGGAATAAAATAATTTATAATTTGTGTTTCTTATTGCGATTGTTAAAAAATTAAGATATCAAACTCAAATTCTTTGGAATATACGAATTACAGGTATTCATTTAGACACAATATAAATAGACTGTTCATGTAAAATTAATTATTATAATAATCTGTTCTTTATCTTTACCAATTTGGGATGGGAAACTAAAAGTAATTTTTCTATGGAAAAGAAAATGGTTATTGTTGCAAGAAGCAGTTTATTGTAGGCAAAATAATTTAGAATTTGTGATTCTTATTAATATTGTTAAAATTTCATATCAACGTCAAAGTTTAATATCTGGAATGTATAACGTCTATTCATGTAAAACTTATAAATTTGTTCATTGGATTTGGAAACATGGAAGTGATTGTCCGCATTTTTTTTTTCTAAAAGATTAATGTTAAATTTTTTTAATGTAAGAGTATTTTGAATATTTCAGGATCCATCAAAGATGCCTAATGCTAAATTTACACCAAACTTTCAAATGAAGAACTGGATGCAACTGCCAAAAAGAAAGGTTTGTTTTATTTGTATTAGATTTGTTTCTTAAAATTTAAAACGGTTAAATTTCGACATATGCAAGGGAGATAAATTTCTTCAATTATTTGTACTGTACCATAATTTTATGAATATTCATAATAATATATTTATAATATTAAAAACAAACGTTTCTGAATTAGTATAAAAAGGAGAAAAAACCTTAAATTTAAAGATTTACTGTAATATTTTATGTCTGTAAAGATTTAGTTTATTGTTTTTTATCAAAAATAATGGTCAAAGTTAATTAATTGATTGTTTGCATACCATATGCTATTTATCAAACGTTTCATAAATTGATTAAATAAACTGTATATTGATTAATGGTTAATAAATTAATGTTGTTGATATCTTAATTAATTATTTATGAATTGATTAATTTATATATTAAATGATGGTTAATTAATCAATTAATATACATGTATATTGATGCATGCTTAATTAATGCATTGATTAATTTTTAAACTAATTGATTTATTTATATATTAATATTGATGGAAGGTCAATAAATTATTTTTCTGTGTGCAAACAAAGAAGGAAGTTCTGACATCAAAAATAAGGAGATTTTTTTAATTTTTGGATGTACCTTCTATTTTAGGAAAAATCTTTGAAAATATGGCTGCAGAAACTGCGAGTCTCCTATTAAAAGTGGGAGAGTTCACAAGTATGATTTTAAACTTAACAAATATTTTATTATTAGAATCTTGTAAAAAGGGAAATGCACATTTACAGTTTATATATGATAATTTCAGCATTTAGAAGAAGAGACATTACTCATGCAACATGCTGTCCAGAGATACAAGACGGAGCTGTGTCTGATGGAGAATATGCTGTTTGCACTCTGTCGTACCGCCCAGTCGGAGCTTGAACCTGAAGATAGGTAAGTTGTTATCTGTTTTATAAACATCCATCTTATATATTAAAATCAATGGACTGAAAAAAACCACTGTGCAATATTGGCACAATCTTATGAATAACCAATGGCATTGCAAGGTTAAAAGCTTATTGCACAACATGGCCAAGTGGTTAATACATGTATGTCAGATCAGTAATCTCAGGATTGGTGGCTATGTGTGTTCGGACCCAGTCAGGTGCAAGCCGTTGTTTCCGTGAGTAAGAAACTTTACACTCATTGCTTATTATAGGTTGGTTCCAGAAACGGATTCAAGAGTGTTTCAATAACCTTATAGCTTCAAACAGAATCAAACTAGAATAAATTTCTATAAACTAAAAGCTTATATTATACTTATTAATATTATGTATGTAATGTACATGTACTTATTAAATGGAAATATTCTGTTTACAAAAACCAGTATTTTATATTGTTTTAATATAAAAGCTTCAACTTGTATGTCTATTGTGAATGAGTGATTGAATGACACATAATAATAAATAATATAAAAAAAATAAAAAGAAGAAATCTCAGAAAAATGTCGGTTACAGTTGTTATCTATATTTATAGATGTGATGTTGAAGAGTTACAACACCTGTGGTGTGAGGTCAGAAAGGAGGTCATCAAAATGGAGGAGCTACTGTCACAACGTATAAAAGCCATCATGGCCGGCAATGAAACTTACAGTCCCTTAGATGCACTAGAAATTATACAATCTGTAAGTAAAATTTAAATGGTATAGTTTTTTGGTAGAAATGAGTTTTAATGGTATAAATTTGGTATGACTTTTGGTAAAAATGAGTTTTAAATGGTATATATGTGGTGGATTTGTATTTGTACAAGTATGTATTTCAGTAGCATAAAATCAATGATTTTGTTTTGTATACATGTATTCAATGGTATAAATTTGATGGAATTTTTGTTATTGATGTAATGGTATGTTGAAGTTTATATTAAAAATGTGAATTGAATGGTAAAAAATTCAGTGGAATTTATTTGTAATTTTACAGCTTAAATGCAACACTATACATTATATCTATCATAAAGATATAATTACACAGGCTCTTTGACATCTTCACTAGAATATATATCTTATTTGCATATGTAGTGATGGAATATTTATGATTAAATTACAGATGATAGATTTGTTACGAGAACAATTGTACCACCAACAAATGTGTATCGGAAGGGATGTTAGTTTCACGGAAGATGAAATCGAGGCTGATACAACCAGGAGCCAATCAGCTTGCTCCAATATGTCGTCAGTAAGTGAGTCATGGATGTCGGATATATCCAATCAGATGTCAGATATCAAATCTTCACTGGCTTCAGCTGAACAGAAACAAGCTGAAGAACTCAATCAAAGAATAGCAGAGGTAAATATTGCCAAATTTCAGTTAAAGGCACATTTTGGCTCTGAAATCCATATGTATAAATTTCTTTAGAGCATGTTACATGTTAAACAGCGGAAGAAAGTGACGCTGAACTACAGTTATGTGTTGTTAAGGTAGCAAAATGTAAACAAAGTAGTATTTTGACTTCTATACAAAATACTGATTCACAATGATTAGAGCAATTTCCAACAAAGAAAAAGTAAAGATAGTTCCATCTATTTGGCAAACCGTAACAAGATACCAAAAATAAAAAGTTTTTGAGAAATTAAAATGATAGCAATTCTGAGGCCTTGATGGGCCTTGTAATGCTGGAGACATTTCATTTTAGTTAAGAAGAAAGGCAGAGATGTTAAAAATAGTGTTTTCTATGCTACCGCTATGTGTTAAGCAAATAAGGCTATAAATTATTATACTGCTATATTTGTTCTGTTTTGAAACTGAACTTTCCAATCAAGGATTTCAGTATGCATAAATGAGCTTGGATATTAGGCCCCAGTAACTGCCACATTTTCTATAATGATCTAGAAAAATGGCGATCCCTTGGAAGCATTAAATCAAAAGAAAATTACATGAAAATTGCGGACTTGGTTTGATAGAGTCTGTACATGAGGGATAGTGAACAAGTGCAACATTGCTCATGCCCCCTAGCACCAACATGAGTGGTACTTGGTTTTCACTAAGAATGAAATACTTGTGTTATTAGAGTAAAAAAAGGATAAACAAATATGGCAGCCAGAAAAAAAATCAATTAAGGGTAGAGTTTTTAATTGGCAAGCATGCAAAAATTTGTTAATCACCATATAATAATATGCAAACAATTCTTTATTTTTCTAGCCTAAGAAAATTCTGCTACTCTAATTACAGTTGAAGAAAAGCCTGCTTTCCGAGGTCAAAGGTGAAATGTCAACGACACAGAATGCCAAAATGCTACAGCTGCAACTTCAGGCACGTGACAATGAAATTCGGCGTTTGAAAATGGAACTGTTGTTACAGAATGTTAATTCTGGCGGTACTCGAAAGAAGCAAATGTTTGAGAGTGATGTGTGAACAACCTTGGAATTAGACTCTATAGATAGAGAAAAGAAACAAATCTGGGGTTGAAACACGTGCCTGAAACCTGCTTGGGTGCTTTCCGGATTGTTAAAATGCCTTGTCATGTAAACGGTGCTTTGTCGATATATCAGAACATGAGATAATGAATAATGATGATGTGTTAACACGAATATGTGCTATATATTAAAATGTACCAAAAGTTGGCAAAATGCCATTAAAAGACTTAAACATTCTACACCAAAGCATTTTAATGACTTTTCGTAACTTACAAAATTTATTCTTGTAAGATAGCAATGTTAATGTAATGTAGAAACTAATAGTGGTTACTTTTACTCACACACAATCATACAAAGTTTTGTTTTGGAAATTTTTTGTGTTTCAACTAAGCTGAATAATTATCAAGAGTTATCACTCTTGGCAACTAAATCAATGTATTTATACAAGAGATGAAGTAAATCAAACTAAGTTACATATTCCAAAGAAACTGCATTCCACAAATGATCATCTGAATTCATATATATTTTTAGAAACTTCTTCAAAATGTATTTTTTTACCCATATATTTTAAATGTAGTCAGAGTTTGTGTTTTGTGCCTGTTTTGTTACGTTAATGAATTTCCCTCTCATGATATGTCTGTTATTATTTCTTTCTTTTGTCCCATTATCTATCCTTTGGCACTATCTAAGTACTTTAACTTAATTTAAAGTCTTTGCTGAAGTTTCCTTTCTTTTTTTTGATCATGCTTTCTTTGTGTTAGTTTTCTTACTCTTGCCCATCTTTCTTGTCTTATTTTTTTTCTCAAATCTTTCTTTCACTAAATGTCCCCCTTGCTTACACCTTTCTTTTTTCTGTTTCTTCTTTTAGCAGACTGTTTTTTTTTTGTAGAGATCTTTGGTGTCATTTATGTTTTACACACTTATTTTTATTCTATATTTTCCATGGATATTGAGGTATGAAAATCATAATTTCTTCTTGAAATTGGAACTCTTTGTCTGATTTTTCTTCTAGTCAGTTGATTATCATTTTCACATGTATAACATTCCATTTTGTCTTAAGTTTTGAAATTATGCTCATGTTTTAAAGTTCCTCTTACACTTCTCCTTGGTGCTTTGAATTACTTTGTAAAGGGAGGAGGAAACTTTATTCATATGTAATTTTTTTTTCAAGATGTCTACTTATTTTTTTAAATTGTTTTCAAAATTGCCTCATTTAGATACATTTGTTGTACTTTAAGGTTTTGAATAGAAAAACAACAATAAAAACATGTTTTAAAAAAAATGTTTCTCTAACAACACAGGAGGTTTGAGCATGTATCTTCATTTTGAATGCAAGCCACTTGGACAATTGCATATAAGCTGTTGCTTATTTTTTTGCTATGATTTTACATGTTGAAAACAATTTGTGTTCTGTCTTCCAGGATTGACTCTTGTTATTGTTTGTTGATTTTTACATTATTGTTATTGCCTATTATGTAGATATACAATGTTTTATAAGGATATATTAAATATTCTGAAGAAATAATCGAATGTTTGTATTGATTTTTTCGTTCTGACCATAATTTAAAGCAGCATGCTTCCAGATTCATGCTAATTTTCATGAAAATTTTGAAAACATACTCTAAAGTAAAATATTGTGAAGTGAACAAAGAAAGTAATTTACACTTACATTCCACGCAAATTACCAAAAAGAGGTCCAAACATGCAGTTACGCAGTAGAAATATGGTAATAAGTACTGCAATACCAGTCTTACTCGAACATGTAAATTATTACTTTAATCCTGAATCGTTTTACTTAAAATCTTAATACATTTTACTCCAAGTTTGGTTTTCTTGAAATATTTGGATCATCGGGAGGCATGCAGCTTGAATAACGTGTGAACGTTCTTGTTCAAACTTTGATGTATATTGCAGTAACGGCCATCTATTAAACTCTATTTAGAAAAATAAAACAAAACAACACAACAACAATTATTAGCCCCTTGGCCCTATGACATCAAATTCAAAATGGTAGTATACGAATACGAAACGTTTATTTTGCAGAAAGCATAATTATAATAATATATAAAAAGTTTGGATATCAGAACATGGATTTTACAACAGACAAAACACGAATCGTGGATTAACATTTTCAATATTCAAAAATTTGCGCATGCATGTATAAGTAAAGATAAAGAAGGTCTGTCCACTACCTGTTAACTAAATACCGTAGGCCTTTGTTAAGAAATGAAGTTTGGTAAATGA